GTTACCCACAGCCGTTTAAGCACAGTGAATAGAGGTTATGGGTTGGGAAATTAAATTACTTATCTCCAATTTGAAAGAATAATAAGGATTAAACGCCTTTTTAGAGGAATTTATTGGTGTATAAACTTGACCAAGTCACTCACAAACATACCATAAAGGTCCTTCTGACTTTTATTTGTTTGTGAGTGACTTGGTCCTGTTTATACACCAATAAATTCCTTTAGAAAGGCGTTTAATCCTTTTATATACTGCAGTTAGAGATGAATTTATTGTGATGCTGTCGGAGTAGGTGGTTGGGCTCCATTATCGTTAATTTCGATAAATATTTCTTAAATCATCGGGGATTTATTTTTCTCATCCACATTTGGTTATTTTGAAAATATATGATTGTTTAAGGGAGTGTGTTTCTTTTTTTTTATGTTGTCGCTACATTTCATAAATATTAAAATATGTTACTTTTCCATAAAAACTAGAATTGCAATATCTTCAGTTTTTCATGTGGTCTACACTTTATAGTTGTTTTAGTTCTATTTCTTAACCATAATTATGTTTGCATGTAATATTTCGTAGTCTGTTTCTAGAAATGATGCAAGAAATATCTGCCACTGAAAGTAATACAACCATAAAACGAACCAATATGATATAATACTTTATAAAACGATAAAAAAAAAACAACAGTGTGGAAATTGGAGGGAGATTGTGATCCATAACAAGATTTTACTTTAATTTTCACCATGCGTAGGGGGAATACAAAGGGGGATCAGACTAATGATTGTTATATTTTACGGTTTTTGTTGAAAAAAAACGTATGGATGGATGGATTGATTAGTGTTTGACGTCCAGTGGAAAATATCATATAAGTGCATTGACGAAAATATGTAAGTTTAATATGAATATGAACCCCGCTTTGTACTAGAACGACACCCCGGTCCGACAAGTCATTTCTCTTTCTCCTCAATGGAGCCAGCTTAGTGGAGGAGCAGCAAATATCAATTTTTAAGTTATAAGATTATTTCATTTCATCCCGGCTGGGAATCGAGCACACTATCGTTAGACCACATACTGGTTTATGCTGTACAATGTATAAACAAATAGAGTTTTAAATTAAACCCATTACAATCATCCAAAGGAAACTTGTCATTCGTAATAACGAATCAATTTGTTTATTTGGTAGATATATAGTTTCATGAGGATATATTACTCTGTTTCATTTCCCGTTCTACAAAAGCATTCAAGATATTATATTATAACTATTTGAATTGTGCATCCGCTATTTGTAGTCAAGATTGTCATTGGCTGGTGGCCCGGAATATAATCACAAATTAAAATCTTTTTGTTTTGTTTTCAAAATGACAGGAGAAGCGCTTAACACTCCTATAAGGAATCAATTAATGATTTCAGTCATTTTTATAGATCTTGTTTTGAAGATTGGAATTAAAGGGCAATAAATCCCAAAAGCTTGATGGTTTCAGTCATATTGGGATTTTTGTAGATCCTACAGTATTGATCTTTTTCGCTGCTTACAGTTTCTGTCTATCTTTTTTCAAAATAAAAGGCAAAACTTTCAATTTTGAAAAAAAACCAATCCTCATTTAACGGCACATACTCTCATCAGAAGTTGTTTGACAAATTTAAAAGACAAACACATTATTAATGGATTTTTACATTTGAGCTATGGTATGATCATGATGCTTTTAATTTTTCTCTTTGACAGACATTTCATCTATAGAATATTATTATGATACATTAAATTTTTTTTAGCTTTTATGTTAAGTTACCGAACATACATAATTAATTAAGTTTCTACAAACGACACCACAACTTAATTTTAAACTCACCTGAGACTGCTGTGATCTGCGCTAGTATTAATCAAAGTACTGAAGTACTGAACATCGGATGACCGCAGGTTCTTGTGGATGGTCAAAAGCACATGTCACAGAAACAGATCACATCTCTATACCTGAAACTGAGGTTAATTTACAGAGATTTTTTATCTTTTACAAGTTCGTGCTTGGATGATGAATAAATGACAGGAAATTCAACCTCACCGTAATAACTATTATATTGTAGTGATACAAATCAGTATACCTTAGACTATTATACTAATATAATAATAGTTCCAGAGAATACATTGGTTTGTTGTTATATATTATATTAATATTACGGTTGCATGTATATATAATTTTCATCTATTTGTATATCATACTATTCTACTATTATTATAGTGTAATGCAAGTGCATGGTGGACACTCTTCTGTAAAAAAAAATCAAAGTCTTAAAGGCTGTAAAAGCAATTGCTGCCATGTTAATGTTTTGTGGACTTTTATTTTTCATCCATATATATAAGAATTAAACCTGACAGGACAGGAGTGTTGACTAGTGAGAAGCAAGACGGTTTTAACTTTATATCAATATAAGACTTTAGCAGGAAATCATTTTAAATATGTTTTATATTTTACAAGGAGACAACAAGTTTACCAGGCTAAAGTTGGGGTTAATTATACATGTGCTGAAACATATAACTGAAAAAAAAATCATTATGGATTATCCCCTGGTAGTGTTTGTAACTGGGCAATAATTTCCTTTATTGATTTAATTTTAACCATTTTCATAATTAATTTAAATTAACCATTCAGTTAAAACATTTCAACTTTCCAGACGCAAATGTTGAAAAACGGGACAGAAATAAAATATCTTACAAGACATAAACATGTAAAAAATAAATATATATTTCAGATTACTAAAAATATTTTCATAATGTTACTTTGACATCATTTCTTAAAACTAAGTCCCAAACATAATTGCTCAGTTGACATGTGTCATCCTCATGCGATACGAGATAACTATAATTCTGATGCAATCCCGAAAAGGGGGGTCATCACAAACAAACATGACATTAAATTGTCATTATACGAACTAGAACAAACAGCTCTATGTTGCTTTGATATTTATCAATTTTCAGGAAACATGTGAAATAAATTTCAGGTCCATTTCATTATAGTGCCTAACAAGATTGTGTGAGGTAGACGAAATTGACCTTAAAACGATCGTATTGTCTTTTGATGTCCAAAAATAGGCAGATCGGACATATAAGGACTTTATCTAATGACTACATAAATTTGGGATTTATTATTATTATAATGTTCTAATGAAACTGAAAATTGTATTTTTTTTTAGGATAAACAACAATTTTACCTGGCGTAGCCGTTCATAAATGTTTTTCTGCATTTATCTTCGAAAAATGGCGTATTTAATGGAATAGAACGTTAATACAGTAAACTTTCTCTTTTTTCTCCGCAATAGGCTATCAAAAATAATTTATCTAATGTGTATGTGGAAAATTATGTGAAAAGATAAAAAGTGGCAATTGTTACCTTTCATACCTTAAGTTTCGTTCATCTGATTCTGACCAATGCTTATATACTAAATATCTATTTATATGCCGCTATTATTGTTGTTGTTACCAATTATGTAAATCAATTGTATCTGATGTTATGCCCTTTATGGGCCCTGTAATTTGGGAAATAAAAAAAAAATCTATTCATCAGTGATAAAACGTAATATGGACTGGTCCTGTGTCCAGTTTGCAGGTCATTTAATTTTCTGTACACATTCATGCACGCTCTGATTTAATCAATATACTCGTACGAAAAAGCATGAACAGTTTGAAGGTAATCTAATAATAACTTAATCCAATCAAATTGCATAAGATTCAATAACAATGTCAAGTCCACATCATAATGAGTAATAGAGGTAAACTGGTAGGGAGAAAATGACAGATATTTCAAGTTAATATTTATGCAATAACGAATTAAAATTTGTCAACCAAAAGTTTTGCTACAATTTCAAAAACATGTCGTTCTGTATGGGTATAGTTTTCGGATCTTTCATTAGCGTATTTAAGGCTAGAAAAAGTTTGGGCTTCAAAAGTTCACACAATTATTGACTTTATACAGAAAATTCGTCCTTGTAAAACATTTAATAGTTCACAAATGATACGCCATTTTAAAGTAAAATTATTTCTTAAAACACTGCAAAAAATTTCATTCATATTGATAAAGTGGTATAGTCATAAAGTGCGTTGAAATGAACAGTGGTATAGCAAACATCGAATTCCCTCACAAAATGTTATCACACACTACAGCAGAGACATATAATACTTTTATATGTCTCTGACTACAGTAAGGGGAGTCAGTTAAGTTTGTCTATTTTTAGATACTATACAGGTAATCTTTTGACACGTATACAACCTGTGTGACCTGTGTAGTGATTTTGATTTTACGATAAATTCATGAATGAACGATAATTTTATGAATGAACATGAGCACCTGACCTCTTTCTTAAACACCTATTAAACATATAAAACCGTATTTAATAAGGAGATAATTCAGTCAAATTTTCAGTACTAAATCAACAACTGAAATGATTCCATTTTTTGATGAAACATCGTACGAACGGAGAACGGAATCGCAGGTATAAAAATGCACTTTTTTCCCTTGTAATGACCGCGGATCTATAATTTTTATAGATCGGTTGAAATCCCAAAACTAATTTGCATAATGTCAATTTAGGCGATAGCAATACATCGGAGTGACCTCAAGGTCATCCTCTGTAAAAATGAAAAAGCGGTGTATCCAGAACTACTCAACAGAACACTGTAAGATAAGTAACACTTACTTTGCCTATTTTTTCACAAGTCAATTATTTCCTAGTTGACCACCTTCTTCCGTCTTTTAGATTCAATACTTTTGAAACTAGCTAGAGCTAATGGAGTTAAAAATATTAATCTAGGTATAGGGGGAACTGCTTCATGCATTTCTTAATTGTTTTATTACCTCTTCCGTGAAAATAGTTTAAAATAGAATAGATATGTAAATCATTTTATTGAGAAGATTATTAAATTGAAATATGCGTTAGGAAGACGTTTTGTTTATCACGTCATAGATACAATTGAAACGTCAAACGTTCATGCGTAGCGACAGATCAGCCAAAACAAATAAATATGGCTGGCGGCTGCTTTTCTGCGAACTCAAGGTAACAAAATGGAACGTTTAACATTGCAACCGCGCCCAAAAACAGCAGAGAAGGAAACATGCTTGCCGGCAGGTGATGGATTGCCTTTTTGGTCAGAGGTGCCACTGTTTGCAAAATTACCGGTATATCCAAATCCAAAAGGGTCTTACAAATTGTGTACGACTGGCTTATGTGAACCGGTTAGTATATTCTTTTTACTTTTGACATTACTTTCATTTAAACCGTTGTACAACATTCAGGTACCAAATATAAATTCACACAAAATATATTTTGATATATGTTTAGTCGAGTTTTCTTTTACTATATATATATATCATACAGGTATCATGATGTTAACGCTTATTCAATAACCATGTTAAATTTCAGTCATGGAATGGAACCGTTGGCGTAAAGATTGACCATTTGTGCGAATAGGAATGCGAGTTTTTTTTTATTCAAATGGTACATTGTCCGTTGGATACCCCAGCTTGCAAACAGGCGTTTTCGGTATTTTACAACATTATGTTGTAATAAAAAATCTGCAACCATAGTTACGGGAGGATTTTATCAGATCAGATTTTTGTGGACAACACTCAATTTTGAACAAGAAAAAAATCACCAATCCTCCTTTTCTTGTCAAAGTGTCCTTTTCTAACTGATGTCTTTTTGAAATATTTAAGAATTGTAAGGAGATATTATACATTTATTTCCCGTATCGGAGGGAGATATGAAGATTTGTTCACCCAAGAATATTCATATTTCACGAGGGCTCTGCCCAAGGGAAATATGATTTTTCGAGGGTGAGCAAATCTTCATATCTTCCGAGGCAAAGGGAAATGAATGTTTTATTCCACTGCCTATGCTTTGTTTACTATAAATACATTAAATATTATTTTGCATACATTTTTTTTTCTTATCCGCTTGTTTTTGTAAGTCAAACTAAACACGACATTCCCATTGATAAACAGTAAGGATCAAAATTTAATTATAAGTCTTTTTGTTTTATCGTCTGAAATAAATTTGAACATGAGAATGATTTTTGCTATCGCTATTTTAAGAAGAATAAGAAGTTCAAAACGTTATGTACATTAACCGCGCGTAACGTCGCACGAAGTAATCCCGACATTTCAGAGGGGAATATGATCCTCAGAATGGAATATGAAGATTTGTTCAATGACACGTGGGATAGTCTCAACCAATCAAATATTGATTAAACTATCAATATGTTTAAACAGTGGAATAAAATAGTTTATGTCATTTGTTGTGTGTAATCTTGGAGGACAAGATAAATATTTCCATTTTAATGTCTGCAAATTACATGTATATCGAACCCTTTTGAGGTTTAGAACATTCGTTTTCTACATATAGCTGGTAGTTAACATTTAGCTTTGTTTCTATTCGCACTGATTAGGGAGCAACCATTTAACTTCAAGGGGGGGGGGGGGTATGGTTTTTTGTCTGAGTCAGTTTCAATCAAGTTATTTGTTTCAAAATTTAACACTATAAGGTATGGGGAAAACCTGGATTCAGAATATTTTTTTTTGTCATCTGCTTGACCACAAAATTTTTTCTCTCAAATTGAGGATCAGAATATTTAGGAAAAAATCATACCCCCCCCCCCCCCTTTTGAAGTTAAATGGTCGTTCCCTTACAATGAGAAAATTATTTCAAATTTCAGTCAGTCAGAAGACGTATAGGATTTTAGAATTATGCAAAAAGCAAGGTTCTTTTAGAGACCACATGAGGATATCTTTTTTCACAAATAGAGAATTTTTCAAGATCTATGAAATTTCAGCCAGTCAGTATACATTTAACTTCTAAAATTTTTGATTACAAATCAAGTGGGCTGGTGTTCTATTTGAGAATTCTGGTTAAGTTATGACAAAACTGGCGAGACAATAAGACACAACAGTGAAAGTCAAGTATAATTAATTGATTCGCTGAAAACTTAAGGTTCCATGCACCGCCTATGATAGTACATACAAATGTGATGGTTTGCGCGGAGCATTGTTCCATATGGACACATATTCTAGTTTTATCACCTTTTTTTCTACAGAAGCATACAACGGCACAAATAGACTTCGACCTCACTGACCCTTACGGTTATGTTGCATTCAGTCAATATGAACCTTTACACGATCCACATCTACGCAACCATTTCAATATTCCGCAGACGAGGCGACATTTGGTGAGGAATGGATATATACACGACGGAAAAGTGGTGTGTGACCTTAAAGAATTTAACAAATATAGACAATACCTTCGAAAAATTTGTCTTCTTGAATTGGAATACGAGAAACAGAAAAAGGTAATATTACAATTTTTATAAACTACATGTAATATTTGATGAAATTTTATGAAAAGAGATGAATTTTCTTTGACGAATGAATAGATGTTTTATATAACTATATTCTTACAAGATGTGATAACATAGTAGTAGAAATTTGCATTGTTCTTTTAAAGAACATGAAGATGTAAATTGTAGATTTTACCTTCGTAAATTCTGGTTTTTTCAGATACACGTTTAAACAAAACACAGAAAAGGATATATATATAGGCGATAGCAACATTCGCTAAATTGAGTTATGAAACTACGAAATCAAATGCAATACGATCATTTCTAATCTTTACAACAACAAAAAATAATTAAATAATCTATAACTTTTGGGCTAGCAATTTTTAATTTTATGGGTACAATTTTTTAAAAACTCAACGCACAACTATTAAATGCATGAATACAACTGACATTAAATCAGTATTTTTTTTTCAAAATTACGCACAGATGATTTAAAGTTCTCTGCACAAGTTGAAGTTGTTGATAAAACTTCATCATGTTATAAATAATACACAAAAACAAAATGACAACAGAAAGATAATAATTAGATTTATTATACTTCACGTTAAAATGCCATATTTTGATTGACTAATACGAGGGTGTAAATTTACTCTATCACATGGTTGAGCGGGTGACCATTTTTTTGAATGTCACCCTCTCGTCCAGGGATAATTTAAAGGACAATGAATTGAATTTACATCAAGTTATTTAAGACAATGCTTAAGTTCTACGTTTTGGCTCAGATTCTATTATTTGAAATAAAACACCTTGCTTCACTTCTGTTGATTTTTCTAATACCCGTAACGTTGTTATGTACGTGACGCCATAGAAAATACTTTTAAATAAAATTCTGTAAAAGACAATAATGATAGGACATTCAGTATAATAAATTAAAATTCACATTGCTGAGAGGGTGATAGAGCAGATTGGTACACCTCGAAAAAGCATTGTCAACCTTGGCTTCGCCGCGGTTGACAATGTTTTCTCGGGGTAACAATCTGCTCTATCACCCTCTCAGCTATGTCTTATTTATGTAATAATAAATCAGAGACAAACAAAAATTAAAGACTAGGTTTGGGCAGGACGTAGGGTTGTGATCGACTACATTTATGATATTAGTTGAAGAACGCTTTTTTGACTCGCCTACAACGACGTATCGGACGTGAGACTGGGGCGTTCTTTTTCCGTCGTCTGTGGCGATTACAGCCGCGTCAAGAGTTGTTTAAGATTGTTGTCAGGTCATTTAAGGTAACAATTAAGTAAATGGACAAACTCATTGTATATTTAATCATATTTTATATCAATAAAACGGAAATTTCAGTAGCAATAACATCATTTTTAAAGAAAATTCGTAGGACAAATATTTAAAGATTGATTTAGTCGAAGTCAAAAATGCTGAACTTTTTTACGATATCTACGTGTATTCTATACATTTGTGCTTCTATTTTCCTGGCGGATGCTTAATTTGCCTTATCTAAGAAAGTTTCAAAGGGGCATTAACTACGAGATATAAAAAAATAAAATATAATATTTTTTTTTGTTCAATTAATAATGAAATTGGAATAGTGAAATAATAATTCGGGTTGAGCAGTTAGGTTCAATTTTGTCAAATTAAGCTAAGAAACATTGCTGATGAATTATTCACTTACAAGTGAATAATTTGACCTCATTGAATACGTATTCATGTGACCTTCAATTTAACCCCTCCGGTGGAGATGGGTTACGCATGTATTCAGCTATTAAAAGGAAAAGAGTGTTATTTATAACATTGAAAGTAAAACCAGGATGAACCATTTGGTTGACTGGTTCGATCCACAAAAATATTATTCTCATACATTAACCCATTTCTCTGACGTCAGTCTATTGTTCTGGCTGTAGATTATTTTTCAAGAATCCACTGACCATAGTATTAACTTAAGAGAACTTATATTATAACTTTAACCTTTTAACTTACGATCTTTTATCCTCTCAAAAACGAGTGGCATGTGTAGGATTCGAACCCGCGCGTATTTTCTTCGTATCAATACAGTCTTCAGTCTATGCATGATACCACTAGACCACGATGGCTGACATCAAATAATATATAAATAGTACTCTTAAAGCGCTTACTTGTCAATACATGTCATTTAACTGTATTTCTGTCTCATTGATAACTCGCTTTTGTAATCTAATGAAATATATATATCTTGGTTTGTTCATGTTTATTGAATTTGTTTTATTTTGGGTGTTATTTTTTTTTTAAGAAACGGGTTAAAACTACTTCTTTGACAATAAAAACAGAACAAAATCATTGCCATTATATGAAAATGAAATATATGATACTTCTACATGTTCTAGGATTAAAACAATATTTTGGTCCAGAAAAAAAAATTACAATGAAAAAAATTCATTCCGCGTACAAGGTTCGAACTTTGCACTGTTAATATCACCGTTATGACATTCGTTATCAACGACTAGACGATCACGGCTATGAACATCTTGATGGTAAGTTTATGACATCAACATAATTATTCATTGTACATCCGTAGCAAGAGCAATTCTGATGTGGATTCAGAATGCGTACCACATAAAAAACTATTTTACTGACCGGTGAACGATATTACCAAATGTAATAACGCTAAAATAATCTTAACTTAAATGAAACGGAAACAGTTTAAACAAAATTTAAATATAATTGTTCAATTTAAATCGTAAGCACATAATTTTAATACTTTAAACAGCAATATGAATTATGAAATGGCAGATTTATGGCATATACGCTAATAATATTTAATTGACTAGGAACGACATAATGGTGTTACGATTTCAATATACCAAGTCACGTTGCTAAATATTATGTATATAAATTTTGAAGATTCTAAATTTTGGTAATTAAAATTTTTTAACTTTTCAAAACAAGATAAATAAATTCTGTATATCAATATATGTCTTTTTGAATAAATTAAATATACCAAAATCTATTTAATTTAAATAATTTGTAATGATTAAAGATTAAATGAAATATGTATATACAAAAATAAAATCTGGTATTAAAAAGGGGAGCTAACACCCCCTTTAAGTTATATTAAACTTATGTTAACTTGTCAAATGTCTAAATATAGATGCGAACCGTGTGGATATATTCATTTCCAGCTATTATAGAATAAAAAAGACAAAATACCAAACTTTTTTTATGAAATATTGTTGATTCATTGTCAAAACCTAAAACAGACAGTCGTTTTACTAGAAATGGGTTAAGCTAGAGAATTGATAAGAAGTAGTGGATTCGGAAACGATAATCAACTTGCGACTAAAGTCGCTCGTTGATTATCGTTTACGAATCCACTACTTCTTATCAATTCTCTACTACGGAAAAAACGACGATAAACATACTTTTTAGCCTACAATATGAAACCAAACAGACATAGAAAATCCAATTGCACGTGGTCGCTTTACATTTATGTTTATATCGGGTTTTAAGATCATCGGCAGTCTTCGGAGGTCATTTTGGTGGTTAATTAGATGACGTCTATACAAAAATACCCACTAAATGCTGATACATATTATCGAGTCCATGCATTGTTAATTGCTTATTTTCGATTTTTTGTAATTTGGATATACATTTTAGTATGTTTTAAATCAAATATGAGAATTTGAGTCAAATCGGTAAACATGAATTTGACAGCTAATGCCCCTTTAAAGTTATATATATATATTCATTATTTTGTCGATGTTCATGTGCAGTTCCTCATGGTCTAGTTTCATGCAATATTTCAATTTGACTATGAAACTTGCGCATAAGGCAAAAAAAAACCACTAATAGGAAGTCAAAGATATGTGCATTGGCACATCTCATTATGATGAAGATCATTTGTCATGGTCCATTGACTGTAAAACTTTTGCATATTTTACACGTGACAGTTTTATGATTAGGTTAGTTAAAGCTAACCACTGTATATTTGATGTTGTAGTTGTATTAGCATTGACATATCTCATTTCTATAGAGATTATTTGGCCTTGCCCTCTCAGTTCGAGTTCATTTACGTTGAAAATTTTGCCGCGTTAGTGGTAACCACTGCTATTTGAATATCATTATTTGCATCATCGATTACACACAGGCGACAAGTTATTTACGGAAATATTTTTTTCTGTCTATGAAGAAAAAACATAAAAAATGTGGTGCACACTGAATAACCCGTCATTCCTTATAATTTGATTCTAAATTCCATATTTTAGGAATAAATCATGAAAAAACGTTGATGACGTCACGGTCACATTACAAAATTATGTCTATGAGCTGATAGACAAAAAACTTTCAGCCAATCAGAAGACGCGTTACATCCAAAATTAAGTTATTAGTAAATATAGTAATTCATATTTGAATATAACTGCGCGTTGCGCTTCACTTATTTTGTCTACTCCAAATAACAGAGTGTATATGCTTAAACTCTATAGCTGTGTCAGGAGTTACAGATCTTTCTCTTTGGTACTAATCGGTGTGCGATTCATAATAAAAGACCAGAAATGATGAATATTTTTTCATTTTCAATGATGTTATGAAGCTATCCAATCGGATTGATTGTTGTTTCTAAATACGTCCAGTGGCAACTATTGCATGCCCGTCCAGGACGAGAACATATTAATAATCAATACAATAGGTAGGTCTTGTAATATGGATAGACCGTGATGAAGGGTAGATATTTTGAAATGCCACCGGAAAATTACGGTACATAGGGATAGGGTCAGAAAGTTAGCCTTGCATCAGGTCACATACGGACCTCTCACAGAGTTGTTGCCAGGCTTCTTCTTTTACGTGTAGAGAACATGGCATTCTCTTCACACGAGCTGTCCAATCAAAATAAACATGGTAATCCTTGCATTGATTTTTTATATACCACTTGTTCAATTATACTACAAGCAAATGATGGCATGACTTTCTTTTGTGTTTCTTTCTTTTCATCTGTCTGCAAGTGAATAGATAACAAGTCAGGTATAGACGAGATGTGATCGCATTATTAGTAATTTGTGTATTGTCTTCTGAAAAAGCAAATGTTTTGCTAATACTAAAAAGAAAATTGAGAAAATTAGCGATTGATAACGATTTTAAAAAGAAATGGGTGGACGGAACTTGATTAAAAATCAGTTTGTTAGATACAAGAATGACAATGTATATAAATGATATGAATTTTGATATTTCCCAAGCAATGTATGGCGGATTCAAGAAGAAGTGATTCGAACGATCTTCAAGAGAGCTATACAAAGAAAAGATTAGAGATGGTGCAAAAACGCATGGAAGAATTAAACAAATTGCGACGTCAAAAGTAAGTATATTGCTATTATATTATAAATAAGTCTAAATTGAAAACAACGTTCAAACCTGTTATATTATATTTACAACTTATATATATATTATGGTTGCCAAAGGAACAGTTCTTTCCTCAAGTCATCGTTCAAGTCTCCAAACTTGATATGTTTTTTTAATGGTGACCTATAATAGTTGTTTGCAACAAATATACAATAAAAAGAATGTATTATCGTTTTATCAAAGTACTAATCGTACGTTAAATTTTTTCGAGAAAGTCTCCTGAGGACGTTGCTAAACGTTTATCATCGACTCCAACTTGAGTACAAATGTAGGAAAAACATTCTATTTTATGATGATGTATCATTTCTAATGTAGATTTCTATATGGGTTAAATATCTGTAGCGAAAGTTAATTGAAATAGCTAACGGAACTCTTGGCCCAATGTTTAACGATCAGTTTCCCGTTGATATAAAACATATCAAGATCATGCCTTGACATTCAAACTATTTGTGGGAATTCGTTCCTATTATCAATCAAGGGCATAACTGTGGAACGACAAATATAAAATATTAAGTGCATGTATGCAAAATTAGAATTCGACCTATGTATAGTTGTCTCCGACAATATTATGAATATATCCAGATAATGGTCAAACTATTAAACGGAAACCAATTTTATAACAGACTTTCGTTCGAACGCTCAGGGCCAAACTTTGTCCGACTGTTAAAACATAAGGATTGTGTGTTTGGTCAAGCTACTGGTGAATCGGACTTTTTGCTGTTAGTCTAAAAAGGAACAACACCGAGAGCTGATATTGCTTTACTAATCTAATAATGACCGTCTCATATGGCTTCCATCAATATGTTCAATTATGCGTCAAGACATTAGCAATGATAGGGGATGAAAAAAATATCAAATTTCATAAAATGACATCTTACTCCTTCATTCTTATGTCGCTACACATCAAATCCAATCAACTTGTTGCTTTAACAAAAAACAAAAAACAAAAACAAAAGAAAACTTTCGTTGTCGTTGTCATTGTAAGTGGTCAAAGGTCAAGCACACATTGTGTCAGCCAGTTACCGAAGTCAATCAAAGTACTGAAGTACTGAACATCGGATGACTGTAAGTTCTTGTGGATGGTCACAAGCACTTGTCTCAGAAAAAAAAAATTACATCTCTATACCTGAAAGTGAGGTTAATGTACAGGTAATTTTTTTTCTTAGACAAGTTCGTGCGTGGATGACAAATAAATGACAGGGAATTCAACCTCACCGTAATAAATATGATATTGAAGTGATACAAATCAGTATACTCTGGTTTGTTGTTATATATTATATCAATATTTGTATATTACAGTTACATGTCTATATAATTTTTATCCATTTGTATATCATTCTATTCTACTATATCAATAATAGTGCAGTGCAAGTGCATGGTGGACACTCTTCTGTAATAATTCGATTTTTCTAATAGATTGGATTTCAGTAGGCATTCATATTTTTCCGCCAAACTTTCAATCTCCCATGCAGAGTTATCGGTCCTTGAGAGAGAGCGAGGACCGATAACTCTGCATGGGAGATTGCAAACGTTCTTGAGATATTCTTCCGCATGCGTTAACACACATTTTTTGTACGTGTGCATAGATATTAAAGATTTTTTACTTATATATATATTTTTAACGACAAAGCATTTTCATATTATTAATTTATGTTAAGAGTATCCATTGAAAAAATGAATTTATAACAAGCGATAAGGAATGTTATTTTGCACTCGATAATGTCCGCGTATTTATCATGTTTATAGATCGGTTACAATCCCAACACGAAAGTTACGTAATGGAAATCTAGGCGACAGCAATACACCGGAATGCCCTCAGTCATCCGATGTAAAAATCAGATTAAGATTAATGTTCAAAGTATGAAACTCCTTTTAGAAAAGTTCATATTTTTGCAAGTAATGTCACCTATATCATAATTTTCATGTTTAAATGAAGGATTTCGTATGATGATACATCTATAATTAGGAAAGGCTATTCAGGCAATGGATATTGCTGAATATTGTGAGGGACTGCTCCGCTTTGCAGTGCCCTAACTTACTTAGTATACGCTGAATCCACCTTATTCTTATCATTTGTTTTACGATATAGATATAAAAGAGAGTGTCAAAGTAAAACAGCGAGACAAAGGAAAAGGCTGGATGAACTAGACGGGGAAAAGTCAATAAGAGACGCTAGAAATAAACAGCGCGAGAGGAAAAGGAAACACACACTTCAACAACACAAGGAGATGGTTTGTCATCAAATAAAGTCATATATCATTAGGGAATGTCGCAAAGTAGATATATATAGATTAATCTTCCAAGGATGTAGTCATATTGAGATGTGATATGAAGTACTATCATTAAAAGTACACACGCACGCACACACCATCGCCACTAACAAAACACATACACACACACCGGCGCTACCAACACACATAACACACATGCCAAGATACTCAACAGACGAGACGATTACCATTATGAACTACTACAATGAATACTTTTTTTTCAAAAGTGTATGACTATAAGACAGTACAATCAAAACATGACGAAGATAGCATGCAGAGTTAAGTAGAACAAAGTGCTGCAACCAGCGATAAAGGATCACAAATCTCTACCATTATATCGGGTTACTGAAAGGTGTTTTGTTGGCAATTAATCCTTCAACAGTAAGACACCTGTGTCCGAGACCACTCTCAGATGAACCCTGTGTTACAAACTGTTCTTTTTATACAATGTAATGATTTTCTCTCTTTTTATACAATGTTATAATGTTCTTTCCTTGTTTACTCTCTTTCTCTCTTTGTACAATGTAATAAGCTCATATCCCCTTTTAATACATAATAATGATCTTTTCTTTTTTTATACTATGTAATAATTTTCTTTCTTTTGTTTACAATGTAACGACTCTCTCTCTCTCTCTCTCTCTCTCTCTCTCTCTCTCTCTCTCTCTCTCTCTCTCTCTCTCTCTCTCTCTCTCTCTCTCTCTCTCATGAAATAAGCTCATACCCCCTTTTTATACATAATAATGATCTTTTCTCTTTTATACAATGGCATAAATGTTCCCCCTTTTTATACAATGTAATTATATTATCTCTTTTTTATACAATGTAAGGATTTTCTCTCTTTTTATACGATGTACTTATTGTCTCTCTCTCATAGATTGAAAAAAGAAACAAACTGTTGATGAGACGCTGGAAAACGCAGGAGCGAGAGCGTCAGCAACGACTTCAAAACGCCAAACACAAACAACTGATGGAACAGAGGCAAAAGGTAGTTTACTCCAAAAATAAAGTGTCTCTACCCTGTATACTACACTTTCATGCAATCTTATTAAAAAGAAGTGTTCTTATTGAATTTGAAATTTTTATGAATATTGGTGTTTCATGTATCATATCTCCCTTTTCAGTAATAAAACTTACAATATACAGAAATTAGATATGCATACTATGGAATGATTTAAACCGTCACTTTTGCATGTCACTGTCCCAGATCAGGAAGTCATAAATCATATCTTAATGGTTTTCGTTATTTGGAGAATTGGATGTTAATGGCAGAGATTGGGGTCGATTTAGAGCTTGACATATTATATGGACACCTATCTGCTGTTGCTGACGGCATGCTGCCCTCTATATGTCTTTGAGTTATTGCTGTCTAATTGACGTTTACTCCACATCTCCTTTTATTCATGTAAAATGGAACATAGCCCTATGTATATTCGATTACGATTTTCACACATAGACATGGCATTTGTCAGCCACCATTTAATTGCAGGTCTTTTAAAAAAATATGGAATTAGATTGTACTTACAGACACATTCTTTTAGAAACTGAAATAATTATGAAATAAATGCACAGTTGAAAGAATATTTCTCCTGAATCAAAAGCACACTTTTACAATATTTTCTTGGTTAGATACAAGATTCATGGGAGTCGAGAAAGAGAAGTCAGGAAGAGAAACTATCTAGAGATGCCGAGGCATTAGTTCGCATTCAGGAACATAAAGACAAAAGTATTGCTGAAAGGGAAAGGCGCACGACTGTCCAAAGACAAAAGCTTCAGGGTCTGTATATGAAGTACATATGTCTTTAGCACGACCATGCTCATTTTTATTTTGTGAAGTTAAAATTTCTATTTGGTAATAAGCATATTATTTAAAAAATTGAATCTATACTGAAATCCAGTTGTATATTTTACTTCATTGATATTTTCTCCTCTTGTGTTGTTTGAAAGGGAAGAAATTATGAACAGATATATCATGTTAAGGAGGGGTATTTGCGAAAAATACCAGTCGAGAGAATGTTAAATTTCGCGAGCCGTAAGGCGAGGAAAATTCATTCTCAAGACTGGTATTTTTCGCAAATACCCCTCAAGAACATGCTATATCTGTTTAATTACACCGAATGTTAACGTTCAAAAACGCATTGATGATCGTGACGTTACAAGCGTCCAGTCGGATAGAGTATTTTTTGGCAAATACCACGGCAGAGAGGGTAAAAAAGGCATATCCTTTTTGTATATATCCCGGCGGCGTTAAGAAATGAACGATATTCATTTGATAACAGTAAATTGGTGAAAAATACACTGGCTATCAACCAATCAAAACCCAGGATTCTTACATAAGGTGTAATTATGTTTATTGAACTATGTTAATATGTCTTTTGATTGAGTTAATATGTCTTTTGATTGAGTTAATTTCAATTGATATTTTACAGTGTATCTTTCTATGTTGTGATGTTACACTATTGCTTCAGATAATGGTGAAGGTTTGGTACCATTAAAACGTTTAAACCCGCTGCAATTGTTTGCACCTGTCCTAAGTCAGGAATCTAATGTTCAGTAGTTGTCGCTTGTTGATGTTGTTCATAAGTGTTTCTCGTTTTTTATATAGATTAGACCGTTGGTTTTCCCGTTTGAATGGTTTTACACTAGTAATTTTTGGGGCCCTTTGTAGCTTGCTGTTCGGTGTGATCCAAGGCTCCGTGTTGAAGATCGTACTTTGACCTATATTGGTTTACTTTTTTTAAATTTTGACTTGGATGGAGAGTTGTCTCATTGGCACTCATACCACATCTTCTTATATCTACAAACAGAGTTTTAACAATTGGTCCGAATGATTAGCAATCATCATCAAAATAAGTCAAACTTCAAAATATTAAAACCTTGAAACATCGAACATCTAGAAAACACGCTGACGACATTTTTTGCAACGATTATATTTTACAGATAGTTTAGAGAAAATCAGACAGAAAATGAAACAGGAACAAGAGGCCATTGAAAGAAAACACGCACGGCGTCTTGCAGAAAGATTAGCTCTCGCAGATATCAAAAATATGGCACGGCGTAATGGTTAGTCTTTCATCTCTAAAATTATCTACTGGTAAAAGACTATGGGTAATTTCATTATTTGCATCCAAAAAGGAAAACGACGATGCGTCATTGGTTGAACATCCTTAACATGGTAAATCGATGTCAAAGGGCAGTCCATCTCCAATAGACTTCCATTTCTCACTAAATAATTTTAAATGTCACATTTTCTAAGTTTTTTCAACTGGAATTAAGATCACCATCTGTTTTAGTCGTTCATTCATGGACAATTTCTTGTTCCGTTTGGTTTCTCTAACTCGTTGGAAATTAAAAGTTGGGTGTTAGATTCAAAAGTTCGTGTGTCACTTTGCACCATAAAATAGAGTTTAGAACGTAAAAGCTATTCTACTTTTTTTTTGTCAATCCAACTTTTCAACTACAGTTATTTCGATTTGACCTTGCACTTCACATGTTGAACATGGGTCAAATTTAGTTTTGACCGACCGGTGAACTGCTTAGCAACAATATACGTTAGTATTCCGAAAGATCATTTGTGCTTGCTGCACTTTGTTTGGATATTTGTGATATAAATTTTAAGGAAATCACTATCTCTGACTGTAATTCAATATCGGAATTTTGATATAAACAAAATGAGTCAAAACCTAGCCTTCATGATTTCTATACCGTAATTGTTGGTGAAAGATAATGCATACAAGTTCTTTTATAACAAGAGTACTTGTTTCATGATTTCAGCGAAGAGACGAAGTCGAAAACCACAGTTCCTCAGCATGTGGGGTATTGTATCAAGTCTTAGAAGAATGGAATTATCTAACTTGAAAGGTAAGGACAGTAAAGATGAAACTGATAACAGAGAAATGTAAAAAAATAAAAACTTTAGAGACAAGTTCTTTTTTTACTTTCTGTGCCTATCGAAAGTTAGTGATTTACTTTAATCAAACAACGTAATGTGAACAAAAGTTGAATGCTAAACATCAAGTTCAAATCCGCTACATTTCGTGCGTGCACATGTTTTCATTTGAACATACAGATTATGGCGATGTTTGTAGGGTTGTCTCGGTATCGTTTCGTTTTGTAAATTTTAAACATTTCAGAAACGTAATGTTAATGTCCTAAGCTTCCCACCAATGACTAACTAATGACATACGCTCACATGTTAAAACTTTTTTTTTCAGAGAAGAGATCAGAAAGATTTTTACTAATGCTGACTGATGCATACGATGAAATATCAATTTTCATTGATGAGACAACATCTGGAGACGAGGTATGTTGTGTATGTTGTTAACAAACAATTTACTATGTAATCAGGGGGCGTGATCAATATACCGTTATTTATACACCAGACCTAACTGGTTACCGGAACTTTTGATACACCAAACCAGGTACTTTATATCTGAGAAACAGACAATATGTGCCCTCAATTTTAGAATTCCTTCATACATTTTTGTATTATTCAAAATTATCAGTCAATATGTTTTCTACAAGGATCACCAGTCCTTTCATTTGATACCTCAATAACTAAAATATATTCTTCATAGTTTTTTATATTTACACCTATGACTAGGAACTATTTTTTTTTAAATGTACTACTTTACAGTATGTTCTATTTTGACCGGGCCCGAATTGGTGGTAATATATCATACAAAGTCTATCCGAATCATTTGCCTGATCTGGAAAGTATTCCGCTCAAACTAGTGCTAGGGGCCGACTTAAACGTGCAGTGAGGTGAGAGTTTTTTTTTCATCCTTGCTGAAGGCCTCATTGTGACTGAGATTAAGAACAGCAATAAAAGCGCTGTTCCTTTGTTTTTTATGGTTTTTTTTTGCTGTGGATGTACCGATTTTGCATGGATACCTCATATCCTTTGTTTTCTTTTATACTGAGTATTTATCAAAATGTCAGTATATTTTTTTTAAATAAATATATCGTTGTTCTTATATAAAGATATGTATTTCTGACTGAAAAAAAATTAAATGCAACTAGCAAAGCCCTTAAATCAAGGGCCTAAAAATTCTAACGTGGTACTGTTTTGAAGCACTGATGTCAAATAATGTATGAAACTCTCTCCGGTTAGGGCCATCATATGTCCTTTCTGTACCGATATGGTATTGTGACGTCCATTGTGATTGTAGTATATTCGAGAAAAATCATTGTCATAAAATATAAAATGTTTCTGTACAAGGCTTAGAAACAGTTTGTATACAAGGCTGTGCCAAGCATTTCTTTCTTGTTTCGAGCCGAATACAAACAAAATGTTTGTTTTGAGACAATAAATGGTTGTTCTCTTTATATTGCAACTGTTGAAGTTGTTCCAAATATATATTTTGGATAAAATCGACAAATTAGAATTTGAAGCGGGCGACGTCAAAATTCCGCGAACCTGTATTCTTTCATGCCGTCATAGTTAGAACTCTATGGAAACACATTATCAACGTCACAAACAATGTTTTATTTTTGCCCGTCTCTGTAAGGACTTTTTTGAATGAACGTAATCTGTCTATGCATAAATAACTGGAAAATTACCAAGTATAGAATTTCGTTTCTACAAATTACTTAAATTTTTAAATAAACTATTTCATAGAAAGAAATATTTGGTCAGGAAATTCGGCCATAGATGTAGAATTCGTGCTGCAAATGGGATATCACATCTTAATTTTTACGTTGATGTTGTTTATAGAGCCCGTAAATATAGATATGATCCATTTAAACTCATTGATTCTTTTTAAAAAAATCATTCTCAAAGGTTATCAAATTTTACACCTTAGTGTGATCTTACTTATCGGTACTTAAATTGATACTTTAATAATAGGGTTTGGAGGTTCACTGACCATGGATATGTGATAGTGTGAATGGGGCACGTTGATCAATGGTAATATATTCTTGTTTTTTTTAAAGTTTGAAGACACTTCCGCCAACGAGGAAGAACTGTTCCAGCTAAAGGCAAGAGAAATTGTAATGGATGTATACAATACTGTTAAACAAGTAAGATGCATATTTACTCGAAAATTATGGGGGAAAACCACATTGATAACCGAACAGTGTAGTATATTTCACGAATTCAAATTTCACATAATATACCTCTAATATTAGTTACCAAAACCAAGTAGTGATGTTGGTGTCCAATACGAATGTCTGTCCACCGATGACTTTTGGATTTCGGCCTTGAAAACAGATGAGGAGCGAAGAAATGATCAAAAGAGTAGACACACAGTTTGGTTATTACTGTCGTTATTTCCTAACCTTTTTTGAAAAAAAATGATACAGTACAGTGTAAAAGAAGTTGTCGTACTGTGCTTATTCAGCTGACCTGTTTTAAGCTTACTTAAGATAAACAACACAAAACAAGACAAAAGAGGCGGCCATTAAATAGTAAACCTGATTCTGCATTCATTATAGAAATAAACAAAATGAGGCTAAATAAAGAGACCAACAACTCTTTAAATGTAAATTCTAATCTTTGTAACATTGATATTTTGCCATATATCGCTTTCAGATATTTCTGTACATTAACACACACAACAAAAAAAGAATGGCTTCTACGGTAGATCTAATTGACAACTGCAGTGCCATGTTTCTCAGTTTAATGAAAACACTGACTACTTATGAAATTACAAATTTGCTCATTTGGAGTGTATAGACTCTTACCACAGACTGTGGAGTGAATACAATTCAGAAAAGACACAATGAAACTTGATGTATACCCCACTATGTTAAATAATCGATTTGAATCATATTGGTCAGGCTAAAACTAGAAGTAATTAGTTTTTAAGCTTGTTCGGACCGGAGGTGACATCTAAATCACACAGGTAACACATGGTAGCAAGTATGAATTTTTTAAGGTATCATCCATTTATTTGCCTTATCTCAAGGAAACATTGTATAAATAGTACATAGCTGAGAGGGTGATAGAGCAGATTGTTATCCCGAAGAAACTTCGCCTCGGTTGACAATATTTTTTCGAGGGGTAAAATCTGCTTTATCACCCTATCAGCTATGTGTTATTCAATTAATTATACTGAATGTTCTGTATTACTGTCTGTTAAGGGCATACGATACAGTTACAGGGGAGGTAATGACGTTGCTAACGTAAATTGTTATTTTCGCGACGTCAAACTGTGACTCATCGGGAAAAGGTGCAGTTTTCGACTGGTTTTTATCATTCAAACTGATTTAACTTGAAAACAAGTTCATGGACCCCGCTTTTTTAATATGACATTTGGTTGCATTACGTATGAAGATTATGTGTACCAATTTTCATGAAAAAGTCAATAGTGCGATTTTTTTAAATTTGATAAATAAACAGCATAAAATAACGTTTTTTTGCTACATTCATGAACATTTGATAAATATGAGTTATTTGTAAAAACAAAATGTACAAATTTATAGAACATTTATATAAAACAGAAATTACAAATAATTTAACAAAAAACAGCTTGTGTTTATCTTTTAAAACAAAATAGTTATGTATTTCTGTCGGAAGAAAAAATACGTCCACAAATCCGAATTTCGAGGAAATATCTGAAATTTCAACCTCAATTTACTCAAAAAGTAGCACATGATGGTATATTTTTTATTACATATTTGATTTAATCAGGTAAAAAATAGCCTATATGCAAATTTTCATCAACATTTCATTATGGGATCAAAACTGTATCGTATGCCCTTAAATTTCAAATTCAAAGTAAGAAACAGTGACGTCATGTACACAACAACCATCCGTATTTAATAAATGCTTCTCCGTAAAGGTAATAGAGTACTTAGCCATGGGATAGAGTAAATTATCTCCTTCGTATTAGCCAATCAAATCTAGCATTTTAACATGAAGGAGAATAAGATTATTTATTCAACCAAGAACATTTTTATTTCCCAATGAACGTTGTTAAACAGTACCGATCCAATGTTGATTATTTATTCTATAACAATTTGTTTTTCTGTTTTGTTCTTTAATACGTCTGAAATAATTTTGAACACGATTCATAATGACTGTACCATCGCTATTTGAAGAAAAAAAAACGCTAAAAACGTTATGCACATTATCTGCGCGTAACGATGCACCAGCTAGTCCTGATATTCAGAGTGGATTATAAAGTTAGTGTTCAATTTCACGTGGTCTAGTCTGAACCAATTAAATGTTGTATTTGCTATCAATAATTACTTACAGTGGAATAATAGGTTTTTGTCGAAATTTATTCCGAAGGCATGTGCTGTGTTTACGGGGACCATATCATTGTTTTTATATACCGTATGTTTTAAATAATAACTAGTATTCTAGTTTAGTATTGTTCCTCTCAAAAATCAGAATATTTTGTATTTCAGGAATACTACAGTGAAATGTTACCACTTCCAGATGACGAAGATTACGATGGTAGTGAAGGTATGTTTAATCTAAGAATTACATTGTAAGATTGATACTGTTAAAACTCAACTCAAAGTAAAATAAAATCAAACTAATTCCATCTGGATCTAATATACATGCATGTATACTAGTATACGAACAAACTTTACGTATCCTCAATTTTTTAATACGTCATAATTGTGTTATTGTGCTATGGACATTTTTGTATTCTTGTCTTTCATTTTTGCTTAATATATATGTACTTGGTCTATAGAGTGTCTATATGCCATTTTGTTTTTCTTTGTTGAAATAGTTATTTGTTTTTATAGTGATTTAGATATTAATACAATGTTGACGGGTGTACCCCAAGTTTTGACATTTTTACCTATCATGTCCGTTTGTTTTGCTCACACATTGTTGTCAATATAATGAATTTCTATGCGACTGTCATAAAAGTAAGAGGTTGTGCTAGCTAATAAAATCAGGGTTAATCCACCATTTTCTACTCAAGGAAATGCCTGTACCAAGTCAGGAATTTGACAGTTGTTTTCCGTTTGTTTGATATGTTTGAGCTTTTGATTTTGCCATTTGATAAAGGACTTTCCATTTTGAAATTTCCTTAGAGTTCGGTATTTTTGTTGTTTTACTTTTTATCTGCATATATACCACTAGACTGTTTTCATTGAATATTCAGAAAATTTAGTAACAAATTGGAATTATTTTATATCTTTAATAGGATAAAGAACCTTACTTCCCAACTTCAAGATTAAGTTTTACTTCATCTTGGCTGAAGGTTTCAACCTCATATTATAAAGTATTAATGCACAAAAAAAAACAACATGTATTGATAATTTTGTATGACCATGAAAAAACCTCGAATACTAGTATTCAAGAAATCTGTAAGAAAATATTAAATGTTTCCTTGGACGATCATGGATATTTGCAAGTTTAAGAAAAAACAATATGTGTTTACCACATATTTATAGTGGTAATTGTATTTATCTTACAGCTATAAAAGTGTAAAACCAAACTATTTTAGGCAAAAGTACATGTGTTGTATGCCACCGAATTTCTTTTCAAGAAAAAGGATTCAATGTTATAAACTGTTCTCTCCTCTCTGTGATCCAAAAGGTAGTCACAATTAAATATTTCCGATACTGTTCTATTATTAGTTCATTCATGATCATCATACTTCAGGAAAATGAATTAAAAAATGATGTGTTGATTTTTTTCTCCCTTCAGTGGATGGGTATGTTATTAAGGACATACGATATTGAAACAGATACAAGTAATAACGCATTTTAACTGAAAATTTATGCTCTGGACGTTGTTTGATAATTAGCATAACTTCTGAGAAAAATACACTGAAGTCATCCCATTGATTGCACAGGAAAATGGGAATTTTGTGTATGGAAGTAAATGAAATGTACTGATTAGCATGAAACTTGTACCAAATGAAAAACGGGTTACTTTTCTATCATCAATAAGTTCCAGCATTGGAACAAAGGATTTTACTAACAAAAAAAGAAAAAAATCCCTTTTGTATAATCTCACCGCGATGAGGGGTATATAGTGATGCACATAACTTTTTTTCAGAAGTATAGTTTCCGGATGATATTATTAAAGCAGCATTTGATCAGATATTTTGTAAACTTAATTACACAATGTCATGGACAAAAAATACAGGTCGGATCATAATGATTATTACGCTTGACCAAATCTTTTGAAACTTATACACATTTTTATGACATAAAAACAGGTTCAAGTTGGATTTTGATGGTTTTTCCATTTACTGCTTCTCTGCTAAGCACACGTCATTAAGAAGTTAGAACAAAAATCCAACTCGGCGTGTCTGTCCAGGAAAAAGCATGGTCCATATCATTTTGCATTCACATGTTGTGGTCCTAAATATACATTTAACCATCCACCTTCTCAAGAGTTATGCCCCTTAATTACCTTAAAATATTTTGATTTATGGATGATAATCAAAGTATCACTTGACCCAAACTTTTGAAATTTAAACACGATGTCATTGACCATGAAAGTTAAATTTTAGGATTTTATAATTTACGTTCAAGAGTTATTCCTTGGTTACCTTAGAACTCTCTTTTTTTTGGTTTCAGGGTGGTAAAGAAAGTAACATTTAAGAAAGTCTTATGTTTTAGCACAATGCTATAGAACCTAAAATACAGGTCGAATTCAAATTGAATTTTGGTTTTGGCATTTACCATTTAAGAATTTATCTGAAGTCGGGGTCTTTTTTATCGTTAGATCACGTAATTCTGGTTTTGTTTTGCAATAGAAAGCGTTCTACTTCATAAATGTCATGTCAAAATAGTAAGATAACATCAACGGCATTGTTTTTATTCTGTATGCATTTATAAACATAAGAAAGTTGGTTACGGGTTTCTATCACTGATTTTTGCATAACTTACATTTTTTCATCTCGTTTTTAACCTTCAACTTTTTAAATATCTAAGATAAAAGTCCATAAACTTGAGAAACACTTAACAGAAATTCGGGTAAAAATATTTCTTTTTGTTTGAAAGCTGTGTTGTTTTGGTTTTTTTTTTCTTTCTTCAGAAAACTGTCAATTTAATTGTGTGTACCGTGAATTCACTAATATTACTCTAAAATATCTCATCGAGTGAGTCAAATTAAAGCAACGGAAGTTGACCGATGTTCCCATATCACAAATCGATTAGGAAAGTACGAATCAAGGTAACAAACAAACACTGAAGGAATCGCATGACCTCTAAAAGAGTCGAAACCGAATGCGTCGACAGGGTAAACGTCTCCTGCTATGCATGCATAACCCTCCATGTAAATACACACAATTTCTCATTCGAGAATAGGACACAATAGGTATCATTGAAGATCAGACGACTATTCTGGTATCTAAAGATCGAAGAATGCGAAATCATGTCGCTAGTAAGTTGAGACACAGACATCATTTCAGTCAGTGTCGATTTCCGTCGTTCCTACTCGTTACTATTTTTTACAGACAAAGTTGACTTTAGATGAATTTGGGTATTTGTTATGTACTTGTTGGTCATATAGCTGTTCAACTGTTTCGGTTTTTATATATTACTGCTTTTAAATATTCGGCTTGAGCGTTCCTGATGAAGGCAAATCCAGAAAAGCGCTTTGGACGAATGAAATTAATATAACGTGTTGTTTTCTTTTTTTTTATAGCACTGGGTAGATACCTCTGCTGATAAACTGTAAGTCCCTGAGGGTATCATCAGCTCAGTAGGCAGTACTTGGTACTGACATGGTTTATAACAAACCTTTATAAAACTGTCCATTTATAGATTTTGAAAATAATCTATATCAGCAGATTGAATTAAGCACTTTGAGCTTGCTTTCAGTAAATGTGAACATTCTTTGATATTAATTGTCATCAATAAGTCCAATATTTTAATGGATAGATTTTTTGTTCTTCCTCACTTTGGGTCGCGTAAGGGATATTGACCCATATAACGTAGTCAGTTCTTTTAGCTTAATTAATACCTCTTCTGGATTTTTTTTCAGAGGGTCAGATCTCCTTTAGAGGAAGGTTATCTGCGATTCCACGCACGAGTGACGAAAACTTAACAAAAAGTTTTTTTAAATCTGCTGGTGATCATGAGGTAACACCTGTTCCATCAATTTACAAAATGGAAAAAATTAAATTAGAAGAAGCGAAGGAGGCAGAACGAAGAAGACAAGAAGATATGAAAATGGCTGAGAGTCTTTTGTTAAAACTTCTAGACGATTTAAGCCAAGATAAACTTAAAAGAGATGATATTTTACAACTGACAACATATTGTATGGAAATGGTTGAGAAACGTGATTATGAAATTGCAGTTCAGCAAAATCTTGATGTCAACGATTTGAACGAGTATCAAGTTTCCGGTCTCGCAGATAATTTAGTTAAGTTTACCTTAGAGAATTTACTAGATGATTTGAAAAGAGGCCAACTTAGCAAAGAAGACCTGACTAAGTTGACGCTGTCTATTATTGGTAGTCGTGAAGGTGTTGATACGGAAGAGCTCATGGACAAAGAAATCGATCAATTTGTGGAAGATACCTTACAAGACATTGTTCAAGATGAGGATCTACTTGTAGAATCTCCTACCAATGATTTAATGCTGGACGATTTTATCGTTAGAACACTACAAACACTGGCAGATGATGTTGAAAATGGTCGTCTATCCAAAGAGATGATTGAAGACATGCTTAATTTAATGAACGCTGAGGTCAGCTGCAATGTCACACATGAGACTACAGATACAAATTTCAAGTCTGTATTACAAAGGATAATAGAAGACCTTGAAAGCCAAAAAGGTGAATCACTATATCGCGTTGTACATGCTTTCGTTTCATCGTACATGTCGTTTAAGGAATCTTCGCAAGAATCTTTAAACGATCTTGTTAATATTGTTATTGATAGAATAAATACAGAACTGAGTGAAGACATTGAGGAATTGGAGTCACTTACACAACTAGCTAAAACAATTTCCACACAGTCTCTAACCACAGCACAGATGTCTAGCATAGCAAATAATGTTATTTCAACTTTGAATAAAGAAGGTAGATCTTTAACTGAAATATCCAGGTTGGTTGTGGAAGAAGCAATTGAACGGGCAAAAGCAAAGATAATTGGAGCCCATAGCAATGAACTAAAACTGATAGCTACGACACTCACATCGACAACAAACGACGTATTGAGAAAATCAAACACAAGCCATGAAGAAAAAGATATTCCATTTGCCCACAATGTCTCAATGTTTGTTACAGATGTATTGACGGTCGTTTACAAGAATTTGCAGAAGGGTTATTTTACTGATACAGAAGTAGCTGAAATGGTGACCAACGTGCAGAGGATTATCGATTCAAGAAAAGATAAGCACGCAATTTTGACCAACCATATAAGATATCTCCTAGCAGAGTTAGACGCCGGATTACTTGACTCGAAAGATTTAGAAGAGATCGGACAAGAATTAATCTGTTGTGGAAAGAAAATGACGGAAAGATCTTCAAGTATGGATAAATGGACACCTTCATTGACAAGCACAGCTATAGCAAATAATCTTGTCGGACATCTATTGCAATCTTTGCAGGTCGAGTTTGAAAAAGGAAATGTGGAGAAAGAGGCGTTGAAAGAATTAGCATTATGCATATTGCGGTCAACTTCATCATCCAGCTCTTTGGTAGCTTCCAATGACTCTAAGATAGCAGAAGATGTTGTACGATATGCACTGGGACAAATTATGGAGGAGATAGACGAAGGAAAGTTAAATAGAATGACATTAGTTTCCATGGCGAGTTCTGCTGTTTCGATATTTTCCGAAGATTTTGATAGACAGGAAACCTTAAACACAAATATGCGTAATATCATTTCAAGATTAAGAGAAGATAGGCTTTCACTGCCAGAAGTAAGAGCAATTTTTCGAGTAATTCTGCGTAAATATCAGTATGACCACGGTGTTATGTTCCCACGAGAGGTGCCAGCATCTGCCGATTCAGAACTTGCCGAATCCTTGATTAGAGAAACCATCATCAAAATTGATAGGGACTTAAGATCTGGTCACTTTAGTGAGGATGATTTACTGTTATTTGCAGAAGAAAGCAAACGATCACGTGGCAAGATAATTGGGGAAATGCCAGATGATATCATAAACTTGGTATCATCAATCATCAAACATTTACAGACCCAAGTAACAGAAAGTACCGATACTAGCGAAGTTATACGGTTTTTAAAAAAAGTTGACATAGAAAATTGTGACCTCATAAGAACAAACGATGAAGTAAACCAATCTCTTAATCGTATTCTTGAAGAAATAAACAGCAGCAGACACTCATCCAGTTACCTTAAGAGAATTCTTCGGCATTTTGTATCACACTACGGCACACACGATGACATTATGGCGGTTGGTGGTATTCTTCAGACTATGAATGTTGGTGTATTATCAAACTTCGTTAAAGTAACAGTAGCAGATGTTCTAAGTGATATTAGAAAAAATAGGATGAAGTCTGCA